GCCAACAAAAAATTCGAGGTTGTGTGCAAAATGATTGACGCATCCTTACTATCATATCGAATCCCCAAATGCCAATATCCAACAGCGAGAGCGAAAGCAAAGAAAAATTAGATCGATGATAGTACCAATATTTCTCTGGATGGCTAACGCATTCATAAACAGGATGTTAGCATACCCTCTACACCAATTTTCAACAATATGCAAGAATGCACGTAAACGATGGTCTATCAAGTTATTGGAAGGTGTGGTTCATTAAGGAAGTGCTTGAACTGAGTAGTTGAATTAAGCAGAGTATCTTGGCATATCCTCTTTTTATAGTACCAATTTGCAGGTGAAGCTTTACCGATGACTAGCCAAGAAGAGGAGTGGCAGTACTTCGAAGAAGAGCTTGACATCAATGACTTCCCTCAGCAAGTGCGATATCGTGTTTGTAGCAGGGTAAGTTTTGTTATTTCCTAGACAGCACTGTTTGAGAACATTGTCAACTTACTCTTTGTTGTCAACATCAGTTGTAGTTCCTTATGCCGGTATGGAAAGTTTACTTCAGGGAGTCTATTTTTTAGTTTCTAGTTTCAAGAACGTAATCTATCATGTATCTCGCATCTAAGGATTAAACACAATTTCGTGTCATTTCTGCTTTACTGACCAGAATACAATTTATTCTAAATATCAAATATATCAATCAGAATAAAGATATTAAGCCGCACACTTTATAGGAATCGTTGGGTCACATATCTGAGTTTGCTGATGTGGGCATTTCGGTGAAAGGATCTCATTATCCCCCTGGAAAGGAGCCTAAAGATGGAGAAAGGAAGCTGTATTTATTGTTAGAAGCTCGACATGAAAGGAATTTGAAATGTGCAAAGGAGGAAATTGTACGAATTATGAAAGATGCATTCCGACAGCTGGTATGTGGAGTCTGTTTTACTTTCACTATGGATCTATTTATAATTCTTTTACAGACAGCGCAAATGCAGCGTGGTGGACCAAGTGGACGTTATAAAGTATTTTAACAAGCATGTAATGCCTC